GTGGCAAGTACGTATAACGAAATCATAGAAGACTGTTGTCATAGATTGTTGTTGATATAGAAAACTAGGTCCCCTTGCGAAAAGTCTTATTGGCGTACTCATGATTGCAGCTGTGGCAGCCGCCGTGACTGTCCCAGCTGTTCTATTAACTCGACCGAAAACCGACCCTTCAAGTACTACCGTGACTACTAGTACGACTAGTACACTGACAACGACTCCAGACATTGTTGCAGAAACAACAACAACAACAACAACAACAACAACAACAACAACAACAACAACAGCGACAACAACAACAACAGCAACAACAACAACAACAACAACAACAACAGCAACAACAACATTAACAACAGCAACAACAACAACAGTAACAACAACAACAGCAACAACAACAACAACAACAACAACAACAACAACAACAACAACAACAACAACAGCACCAACAACAACAGCAACAGCAACAGTAGATATCGTTTCGACATCCACAACAACAGAAGCGGAGCTCGTTCCAACGATCACAGAAACAATAACTGACATCAATTCGACAGTCACAGAAACAATATCTGACATCAATTCGACAGTCACAGAAACAATAACTGACATTAATTCGACAGTCACTTCTAATACAACAGAGATGACAGGTGAGATTCGAGTATAGGAGAATCTGTTCTTTATCCATGTCTCGTTAGTAACAGTCGCTTGTGCATCAGAAGTGTGGGTATGGATGTGAATGCGGATGAATGAAATATCCTCACCTACACCCACACTCAATACTCCATTCCCACTCACACTCACATTTAGAGACAGCATTCCTTGCAGGAGTTTTCAGATTTTTACGATGACTTCTGTGTAACTTCTTGTTCTTTTCGGTGGGAAATAGTCGAAAATCATAGAAAAAATCTGAAGACTTTTCGGCCTGGAATACTGCGTCCAAGTTCCATTGATTTTCGATGTTTTCTTGCTGCATGCAATAATTTTACTGCACCTTGCTGGTCAGTTCCAGTAGTTTCAGCTTCTTTCTGAAGCTTGAGATCATCCGCATGGGTCCATATGATTAAATACGCTTCGTTAGTAAAGAAATATCGTGGATAATAGTATTTAAGAACTCGGACATAAAAATTCCTCAATTGTGGAACAACTATTACAAGCACTACAGTTAATTTATTGGGAAATCGAAGAAAAACCATACATTCTTCCACAGTTCCATGATCTCTAATAGGTTGAGTAATACATTTTCTAAAATACTTTCTGTAATCATGAATTTGTTTTTATAGAGGATTCTACTGATCTTGATGTGAGCTCGACATTTATTCTGAGTAGTGTACTATGTTGAATCTGAGAATCAGGAAACCATAAGGAAATGTAGAAGAAATTCTTATTTGTCGATAGACTTCATATTCTTCGATTATAGCTGCTTGAATTTGTACACAATTGAAAAATAGGTTAATCTATATGGATGATAGAATGACTGATACAAAGTAAAAGTCTTTATCAATCATCTATATCAAAAGTCTATTAACGACAATGGAAAACTGTTACACGTTTCCTTATCACAGGACGAAGAATCTTGTGCAATGAAATTGAAACCTTCTTTTACTCTACAGAATGTTTAAAGTTTTTCCATTTCGAGTAAGAAACAAGTTTCATTTTACAATACTTTGAAACATTTAACTTAGACACAGAAAATCTTGCATGTTTGATGATACTGTACTTTTCAGCCTGAATATATTCAAGCGGTTCTTTTAGAATGGCGTGACACTGGCAGCATGAATATCGCGCGATTTGACCATACAGCATCCGTATTAACAAATGGAAAAGTATTAGTTACTGGTGGACGATATAATCTTAATGTTTTTCTGAATGATGCTGAATTGTATGATCCATCAACGGAAACTTGGGCAATAACTGGTAGTATGAATTATATACGACGAGGTCACACAGCATCCTTATTATCAGATGGAAAAGTATTAGTTACAGGCGGATTTAATGGTACTCAATCTCTAAATACTGCTGAGTTGTATGATTCATCAACAGAAACTTGGACAACGACTGATAGTATGAATTATGCACGACTTGGACACACAGCATCTATATTGGCAAATGGAAAAGTGTTAGTTGCTGGTGGACGCTCTGGTAGCAATGCAAATATTACTGAATTGTATGATCCATCAACAGGAACTTGGACAATTACTGGTAGTATGATTTATGCACGGCGAGACCACAGAGCATCCGTGTTAAGAAATGGAAACGTGTTAGTTACTGGTGGATTGAGTAATATTGGTTTTACAAATAGTGCTGAGTTGTATGATCCATCAACAGGAATTTGGGTGATGATAGATGATATGAATGATGTACGATATTACCACGCATCATCCGTATTAACAGATGGAAAAGTGTTAGTTACTGGTGGACTGATTAATGGTGTTGTCATAAATAGTGCTGAATTGTATGATCCATCAACAGGAAATTGGACAGCGACTAGTAGTATGAATAATGGACGGCAATTACACACCGCATCAGTATTAACGAATGGAAAAGTATTAGTTATCGGGGATTCAAGTAGTGCTGAAATATATGATTCATCAACAGAAAATTGGACAATGACCGATAGTATGAATTATGTACGATCTAGCCATACAGCATCCGTTTTAAAAAATGGAAACGTATTAGTTGCTGGTGGATCGGAGCTCAATATTGCTCTAAATAGTTCAGAATTATATCAATCATCTTAAACAAATGAATAATGAATAATTTTATATTTATCGATGCATGTAATCTTGCATTCAAGCACTAATTTAATAAAAAGAACTATTGAATTTAAATGACAGTGAATAATTTTCTTTGATATTTTTGTCAGTTTGTCATATTACATCTGAGAATTCAATGTAAAATAACAAAATAATTTTATTTCAAAATTTTGATTTGTTAAGTTTATTGTGATAAAAATTTTAAGTTCATATGGTGATTTTAATCTTTTGAATGTGTTTCTTTAAATTTTCAATTCATTTTCAATACAAAACTTCGATTTCCTTTGTGCCATTAATCAATACTTCGAGCTATACTACTAGGTTGAACTTTGATATTGTTCACATAAGTTTTCAAAGGTTTGTCTTTCCTATTGCAGAAAGATTGCAGTATCTCGTAGCAAGTTATGTTTTTAAATTTGAATAAGTGAACTTTCATTGAGTCCATTTATTGTTCTACTCTCGACAAAGTACACCTAATTAAAGTACTTACGATAAATAAATACATCAGCGAAGAGTAGAATTTCCCTAGTATCTATTTTATTTTATTTGAGTTTGACATGAGCCTACTTTATATATATTCCAAGAACATTTAAGCTAGATGTTGTATGATTAGGCTACGAATTGAGCTAATGAGTGAGAATATCTTTAGAAAAGATAGGACCTCCATATCGAACACGATACTTAAGACTTTTTCAAAGTAAAATACACGTAGCTGTTATTAGACACATATTTTAATGTAAGAAGTACTATCGATAGTAACCCACTCTTTATAAATCCATCATCTGGCTATTTACAGTTTTGTTTAACAATTGCAATTTTTGATTCAAAGACTAAATTAAGAGAAATAAAAATTGCTGTTTTCATAAACTACTATAAATAGATATATTCGTATTTCAGGATTATTTAAATTAAAAATGTAACATATTTGTTTGTTATTATCGATCTATTTTGCAACTATTTTCAAATAATGATTTTTTACCATCAGATATATTTTCTGAAGAATATTATGTTAGAAAAATTGATTTTAATTATATTCATCGATGAATTATGATGTTTTAGAATCAAATCTATGTAGTACATGTAGACTAAATATTCATAGAAAAAGATTAATTATAATGGGAAAAATCAGATTAATCAAACAACAAAGAGTGATAAAATATGAAAATTTGTAGGAGAAAAATTGGTCACTAGTGAAAAATTTCAAGATCTTAAAATAAGGAAAATGATATCTTCAAATGCATTTATCATGTGTTATTTTTCTTCATACATATAAATAACTATGTTGATGACTACAAAAAACCCATACATATCATTCGAGTTTAGTAATGTAAAGCTTGTTAGTATATGGATTGTTTACGGTATTTTTGATAATTGTAGTTAATTTACTGTAATGTCCTATGGAGAAGAGACACTTACCGTATAACTATTAATTTATGTTTTATTGTAACGAGTATAGTAAAATAAATGATCATCTCAATATTCTATTGATATCTCAGTCAGTTTGATTTTTATCTTTTTTGAATAGATTTGCTTTCGAATTCTATACAAAACGGTATAATTAATTCAACTACTAATACAAGTTTCTTCTTGTCTAAATTTGAATAAAAATATTATACACAAGTGTACAAATCTGCAATTTGTTTTCCAGAGGAAATATATTTTCATCTTTCAAATATTTCAGCTTTTGTTATGACACGTTTACAACTCTTTTTAGTAATCAATCTATTGTTGATAAGTATCTCAAGTAAACTAACAAATTAAAAAAACCTATAAGCATGTCGTAATAAAAGGCAAAATGATTTTAGAATAAAACTGATTTTTTTGTCGAGAAAACAAAACGCAGATCTGCGAAATTATATGTAATTTCTTTGTATCGTTCGAGTATGTATATACATATCCTATGTAATAAAAGTTTATGTGTATTTGTCCATACATATACTATACAATAGAAAACATTTGAACGTAGTTAATATTAAATTTATTGCTTTATGACATATTTGTCTCGACATATTTTTCTATTAAAATCATGTCTACTCATATTCAGGAGAATCTCATTGATGAAAATAATGATTCAATTATGTAATCTCAAAATATATACGAATTTATGAGCAAACAGAAAAACATTTTAAAGACAGTTTTGTATTGAACAAGTACAAAATAAAATATAAGATTCGTAAGAATTTATTAATGACAAAATAGTATATTTTATCATTTTTAGTTCTAACTATTTATTCTTATTCTTATCTCTCTTCCTTGTTTATATAATGAAGAACAAGTATTATTTAATGTATATATAAATATCTATTTTCGAGTATTGATTCAACTAGGTAGAAAAAAATATCTGAAAAACGAAAAAAAAAACAAAGCACAAAACGTTATAACACTTAGTTGCTATCGCATCATCAGAAGGCAACTCAAGATGTTAATTTCTGTTGTGACCTATCTTATCCTATAATCATTTTATAACAGATGTTGTGACAAGCTTGTTCGAAAGTTTGTAAAATATATTAACAAAACAATAAACATTTGATTTTACAAAACGACAGTTGATATAGTTTCATTAGAAAGACTAGGAACATATCGTCATAGCTGTTTCCATTTCAAATGATTGACTTGAAACAAAATCGAACAACAAAACAATAAATCCTTAGTAATTATATCTCATGACTGATTCTCAACTACAAAAAGCCTTTAATGATTTTCTAAAGAAATAAAGTATTGTTGTTTACAATGGACTGAATTCATTTTGTTGAGAATATACATTGTCAATTGGAGTATTTATCTCTGTTGCCAACATTATATAGCATCAGTGCCTTTTTTTTTAGTATTATTTTCTCTTCTCATTCTGCTCTGGATTATCAATTAAGAAAAATGTATTTGGTCAGAATAACTTTTTCTATTTAGTACAAATGCCCAATATTTTATTCAACATGAAGATTAAAGAAACGTCACCGCTTCGACGATCGAGTTGATCCTTCTGGAACTTTGTTGTTCCTGTATTATATAGTCTAAAAAGTAAGTGTTTGGCCTCACGGAATGTTAAAAATTTTCTTGCTGATCTAGAAGGTCGATATAAGATGATAGAAAGAAAGATATATCTACATTTAGTCTATGATGATCATGAAGATTGTTTCCTGTTTGTTATTATATATTCGCCTGATTAAATGTATTGAATCGACAACAATGATTCATACGTATGTAGTAGTACGAAATGCAATGAAGCATCGCAATGAATTATTTGGATTTAGAATATTTGATTCAAAAGAAAAAACATGTTTATATCGATTAAGAGCTTCGTCACGTGATATCGATACTGTTATACTTGTTGATAATCGTGGAAAAAATATGATGATTGATCTTGAAGGTATATGGATAGATAGTACATTTAATGTTACGTTTTCTGTCTACAATTATAACTTAAACACGTGGATAGATGGAGTTATACAAAGAACCTCTCATTTCCAGGTTAATGATTACACAGGTGAACATAATAATGAACAATTGATTGCAAAATGAAAACTTTTTTCGAGAAAAATAAAAGTTTATTATAAAAAGCAAAATGAATTATAAGTACAACTTCAACTTTGCATACAATGGCTCTTTTGGAAACCTATTAAATATGATTTGAAAATCTATTCGAATAAAGAATCCCATGCTATTTATTTATTTTTTTACTGTTAATATTGGATCATCGAAGACTTGCAGACTACAGTCAATAACATTGATCTTAATTATTTGCACACTTTCTTAAAATAATACACAACTAAAATTTCTGCTGGTTTTTTGTTTTCATTTATCACTTTTTTGTCGAATTTTTAAGTAGTTTAGAAAAGAAATCATTCTTGGTTAGAGATACAAAGTCGACTGGAAATCAAGATCTTATCATTTATTAATGAAGATCTTCTGTAAATTTTGCATGATTTATTGAACGTAAGTATATATGATACCTTTGCTTAGATGCTATAAATTCGAATTATTTTGGACTTTTTTAGGCTTATAACGAGTGACGCAGAATAAATTTCCTTCTTCGTATTTTTGAAATTTGTCTTTTATTATGCCTCAGATGGAAAAATCTTTCTTTGTATTAAAAAATAGCATTTGAAACGCAGTATAAAATGCTCAAATAAAGAGAGATGAGCTGTTTTCGACCGAAAAACTCTGAAAAATAGTAGGAACTTGGAAGCAAAAATTCGATGAGCGGTTCTCCAGCGTTTGCGATCAGTTACAATCATAACTAGGAAAATCGTGCCATTGGATCTAATCACCAAATCTCTGCTTCCAAGTTCCTACCATTCTTCCGAGTTTCCTGGTCAAAAATGACGTGTACCTGACAGGAGCTTGCTGGAAATTCACGAACCCAAGCGCCATAATCATTGACCTTGAGGTATATTTTATTTAATCAATATAGTCTCCTTCATTTTTTAGGATCAAGTGTAATCGAGCACTAAAATCAAGTACAGAATACAAAATATTTCTGCTTTCAACTTTTTTGACTGAAACTCTTATTTTGTCTATCAATGTTGTCTTTGTTGTTACGTGGTCCAATCATAACTACAGCCAATGCAATCCATAAACTATTATCCAATGGACATAAATCAGGCGAATTTCTTGGTCGACAACTCTTTGAGATGTATGCAAAAAAATGATCCACACACAATTTTTGATTCAGATGATGTATGCAAGATGTAGCTGAGGGGAAAACAGCGGACTCCATACGACTCCACTCGTATGAAGTCCACTGGAGTCCCTTGAAGTCTTTTGAAGGTTCATAAACTCTCATGCAGTTCTTTGAAATATATCTTAATTCTTCAAAAACAAAAATCGCCGTGCGCCAATGATGACATATGAAGGAAGTGCAAGAGAAAAAATACGTGTCAGTTTAATTGAATCAGGTTCAGCTTCTTCATCAGCAGAACCACTTCGAATACATTAGGGATAAGTTTCTGAAAAAATCAAACATTACATGATATTGATGATGAGGTGAC